CCAAAGTTAAGCTCTTAAACTTGGGGTTGATCTTGACTCCTGCATCTGCATGGCACATCAACTCCCCCTGTTTACAGACCCACTCTTCCAGTCCCTTGTTTTGCCTTCTGGGTAGATGCTATGGAAGCATTTTGAAAGTTGCAGTGGCTTGCAGATAAAGGACTTTCGCAGCTGCATCTGGAGATGCCAGGGACTGAGCCTGGGGCATTCTGCAAGAAGAGCATGTGCCCTACTACTGAGCAGCAATGCTCTTCTGCAAAGTGCACTGCTTACCTTCCACCACCAGCACCCAGAAAACCAATGCAAATAAGAAGGGTGATATTTCAATTACAGCATGCATATCTATCTATCTATCATTCATCTATCTATCTATCTATCTATCATCTATCTATCTATCAACTAATAAGTTATGAGATTAACCAACTAAGCATTCTATTAAACTTATTTAAGTGTTCTGAAGGGAACTACTATTATAGTAAATTACTAACAGTCCATCCTTTAGAACCCCTACAAGACAAGCTAAGCATTGTAGAGTAAATGAATACTGTGCACATGATGCACCGAAGTGCCTCCAGCAATGTGTAGTGGGAGGAACTGATGAAGATAGTGATTCTTAGTGTGAGAACAGAGTATCAGTTTATTTCCATTGTGTGTCAATTTTGCATGTATTCATAAATCTATTCTATCCATGAATCCACATTAATTGAGCTTTCTTTTTTAAAAAAAAAAATCAGTATGAAACTTTGTACTCAAATGCATGGTTTTATTACAAAATTTTAATTCTATCCAAGGAAGTCATCCCATTAGCACATGGACTTGCACCTGTGCAACTGGACTACCTCTCCCTTGCCTCTCCCCACATGCTCTCATGCTCCCCCCATCTACTCCAGGGGATTGGGGGGAAACCCAGAACAGATGGAGGACATGGGGGAACACAAGGAGATGGAGAGGAAGTCCCATAGCACAGGTTGTTGCACCAATGGGACAACTTCACTAGATTCAGCCCAGTGTTTTAAAATACATACTTTATCTCAGTGTCTGCACTTCTAATCACCATTCTTGTATGTATTTTGGTTTGTTTGTTTGAAACAAGGATGTTATTGCAAAATTCACAGAAGTGAGCAGTCCAAAAGATCTGAGTTGTGTATTAGTGTGGGAGGTTAAAATTAGGTTTGCATAAAAAATGTAGACTACATGAAATTCTCTCCCTTCCTTAGTTGTGAGTACTCAAGAGTGTTCCGATTTTCACCCATGAAATATTGGATGGTATGGTAAAAGTAGTAGAAAATTAGATCCACCAAGAAATGGAAAAAGTGGCTTCTAGACTGATGCTACTGTGAAGGCACTGTAGGAAATTAAATCAGTGGTTTTTTTGGCACTGATTGGAAGAGGGCCCTAGCCATTGGGTAAGCTTGGGGGGGGTTTCACCGGTGTAGGAGGGCTCAACTCTGCCAAGGGCCTCCCCAGGCCTTAAGCTGGCCCTGTGTCCTCACAACCTTTTCTGGGAAATTCCAAAACTCATTCAAACCCTCTCTCTACTGCCCACAGTCACACTGTACAACATGAATCCCAGTGTATTGGCCACTATCTAGTGCCTGACTATATTAAAATCTACAGGGTGCAACCCATGTTGAATATTTCCCCCACTAAAAAAAGTTCACACCCCTCCAAAAACAAAAATCAAAGTTTACAACAGTCACATCATTTTCTTTCATACCATAAATATATGATGTCAGTATGACTGAGCTACAAGCTAACACTGGAAACACCAAAATCTGGAGCTCCAAAGGTTCTCCACCTCTGCTTTACACATTTGCTGGAGGTGAAATCCTATTATTTATTTATTTATTTTTTAAATGATATTTATTGAAATTTTTTTTAAAATTACAGAAAAAGACAAAGCAGAGAAAGAAAAAAGAAAAAACAAAAAAAACAAGCCACATCCAACAATACTAATTCAAAAAACAAAAATACACCACAAACAAATAAAAATAAAACCATCATTCTCAAATCTTCAACTTTCATTACCTTCTTTCTTTGACCTCCTCCTCCTCCCTTTTTTTGTTTCCTAGTTAATAATTATCGCAGCAAATCCTTTCCATATTTCATAATATTCTGTCATTACATTACCTTAATCTATTTTCATCTTATCTTGTAAAAAACCTTAAAACTTAAAACTTAAATCTTATTTTTACCCACTTCTCATAACCATAATATTCTTGCCTAATTCTTTAAACATTTTTGCTAGAGCCAAGTAATTTCGTTCCAACATTTTTCTAACAGTCATCAATTTTATAAAACAATCCTAGTGATAAAAAAAGAAATAGAAAGAATCCAATCTTCATCCAGCGTCCCTTCCTCCTGGTCCCGGGTTTTGTCAGTCCTTTTTATCCCATCGATCTAGCGCATTAACCTGGTAACCTTATATCCGAGGCCCTTAAGTCTCTTCCATGTCCCTTCCGCAGCTCTTCTTCATATTCACCTTTCACTCGTGGGAACTCCAGCTTGGTAATGTTTTTGACCCTTTTCAACAAATCAGCCCCTTTTCCATAGTCCAGACTAAACTCCATATGGTATTTAAAAACATGTTTCAGAATCCCTCCAAAACTGAGAGCCCCCACAGCTCCAAACATCTCACGGCCCATTGCCAGACTCGGAAAGTCCAAACATCCCTGCATAGGGGGGTCTATCCAACCCCCCATTTCCAAACCAGTCCAAACTTTATCTTTCCAAATCTGGCTTTTTCCAAGTTCATTTGTCAAATCCAAAAGCTCATGTTCCTGCTGGGCCGCAGCTCCCTCCATCTCTGGCGCCCAAGATTCTGCAACATCCTCTTCTCTCATCTGTTCTGTCAGGGCACACTCCTGATTTAATTCCTGGGTGGGCTCCATATAGTTTCCCACTGCCTGTTCAAAAATTCTGACCGCATTAGTCATCAAATCCGTCTTCTCAGTTAACTGTTCCAGTAGAGCATTTGTTTTACAGAGAGCACACAACAGAGCTTCTGAATACATTGTCCTACAAGGTCACAAGCCTATTCCCACGATTGTAATCTGTGACAGCTGCAAGCTCCCTGGAATTAGTTACAGTTTCACAGTCTCCCTCTAGGGGGAAAACTTCTATTTGTTCTTGCAACAAAGTTTCTTTTTTGAGATATTTTGTCAATATTTGTTCCTTTAAAATGCAAAAGGAAACAGTGGAATCACTATGTTTCTCTTCTTTTAGCTATCTGTCAAAAACGTTTGTCTCTGGTCAATGAGCTTCAAACGTCAGTCCTGACACCCCGCTCCAGGATCAGGACGGTGGAAAGTTACTTTACTTTAAACTCACTTCTGCAGGTTTAAACAGTCCAAAAAAAGATCCCCCTTCTTCTCCTGCTGCCGAAGGGGGGTTCAAGGATTTTAAATGATGAAAGCCAATCCTTTAGAAGCGATTTTCTGAGCTCTAGTTTACGTTGTCTTTGCTTTATTCTGTCTACAAAGAAACGGAAGGCTGACTTCTTGTTTAGACCTTCCTGTTTCAGTACCAAATTGAAGTAAATTTTTAAGTCCAATTCCTTTCTGCTCGCAAGTCCTTATTTAAAGTCCAATTGTTCAAAGTTTAAGTACTCACGGGTGCTTATTTTAGAAGCCAAATTGTCCCAGGAAAAAGGCAGCACTCTCCGGCAACGGCTATGCGGCTTCGCTCCACGGAAATAGCAGTTGACTCACAGCACCGCGCCACTTCCCCCTCTTCGCTTCGGAGCCCGTTAGTGGGTTCCTTTGCGGGTTGGGGGGGCGCTAAGGGTGCCCGCCGAGTCCCATGGTCACAGGCTTCATCCGCCTGTGATTTTTAAAAGGGTCCCCGCTTCGCCGTAGCGGAAAAGACCCGTTTCGCGCGGAGCTGTTCCCTCCAGTTCAGAGGGAGTCCGCCATTGCTGATGGCGCCACCCCGGAAGTCCGAAATCCTATTATTTATTATTTAATGAGGATGAAAGAGGAGAGTGCAAAATATGGTCTGAAGCTCAACATCAAGAAAACTAAGATCATGGCCACTGGTCCCATCACCTCCTGGCAAGTAGAAGGTGAAGAAATGGAGGCAGTGAGAGATTTTACTTATTGGGCTCCATGATCACTGCAGATGGTGACAGCCGTCACGAAATTAAAAGACACCTGCTTCTTGGGAGAAAAGCGATGACAAACCTAGACAGCACCTTAAAAAGCAGAGATATCACCTTGCCGACAAAGGTCCGTATAGTTAAAGCTATGGTTTTCCCAGGAGTGATGTATGGAAGTGAGAGCTGGACCATAAAGAAGGCTGATCACTGAAGAATTGATGCTTTTGAATTATGGTGCTGGAGGAGACTCTTGAGAGTCCCATGGACTGCAAGAAGATCAAACCTATCCATTCTTAAGGAAATCAGCCCAGAGTGCTCACTGGAAGGACAGATCCTGAAGCTGAGGCTCCAATACTTTGGCCACCTCATGAGAAGAGAAGACTCCCTGGAAAAGACCCTGATGTTGGGAAAGATTGAGGACACAAGGAGAAGGGGACAACAGAGGACGAGATGGTTGGACAGTGTTCTCGAATCTACTAACTTGAGTTTGACCAAACTGTGGGAGGCAGTGGAAGACAGGAGTGCCTGGCGTGCTCTGGTCCATGGGGTCACAAAGAGTCAGACATGACTAAATGACAACAAGTGTGTGTGTGTGCGCGCGCAATACCCCACAAAATTTTCAAAGAAACTCTTACAACTCAGTAGGGCTTACTTCTGAGTAGACATGCATAAGATTGCACTGTTAGACAAGTTCCTAAACGGACTCCTATCAAAGCATTAACCAGGCTGAAACCTGTCTCAACTCAACAGTGTAATTACAGCCAATGCTTTCAGACCATTGTCAGAATTATAAGTCTTTCAGAAACATAGAAGCTTGACCACCAGTCCACATAGATCAGTATGGTCTGTATTGACTGACAGTGGGTTTCCAAGTTTTCAGACTGCAGTTTCTCCCAGCCCCACATGAAGATGCCCTGGTATTGAACCTCAGACCTTCTGCATGCCAAGCAAATGCTCTGTCACTGAGCTATTTCCCCTGCAAAGTCATACAGAGCCAAAATTGGAACGCCTCATAATCTTTCTCATTCTGCTTCCAGTTTGCTAGGCAGAAAATGACACTGGTAAGGATGGAGATCAATCTAGAGAAAATATGTCAAAAGGGAGGGGGTTGCTCCAAACAAACGCACACCAAATCCTACTTCTGCAGAGGCAATTTATTAACCTTTTACTTATAAATTAAGCTCTGATTTGAAAATTAAGGCATTGTAATTTAATATTAACCCATATGTCATAAAGTAATGAGACAAACTGCAGGGGAAATTGCATTCCATATTGCAAAAGACCCTTGTTATTTATAATGACCAGGATTACAAGTTATGCCAACATTGATGGATCATACTCTAAAAATCTTGATAGCTCATTCATTTCTCTAATTGCATTTATTACAAATTAAATAAGTTGTGCACACCCTCGGTATACAAAGAGACAAAATTAATTTGCAAATCAGTATGTATCTGCCATCAAACTAAGCAAACTGGTAGCTACTTGAGTACAATATGGTGTGCAACGGATTTTGCAGCATGGGTATATAGCACAGAGATTTAAATCAGGGTGGCTAACCTGAGCCCCTCCTCCAAACGTTGTTGGTCTCCGGTTTCTATCAGTCCCAGCCATCCTAGCCAATGGTCAGGGATGATGGGAGTTGCGTCTGGAAGGACACAAGTGAGCCACCCCTGATTTAAATGAAGATCTTTTCATCCTGCGAAGAGAGAGAAGTTCTCAGAAGGGACAAAGGCTTCAGTGTATGAAGTCAGGTGTTCTACCTTTTAAATTAGCACAAATATTACTTTTCATTTGCATTAGCAGAGGAGTGTTGCCTTTTTCCTAGCCTCATACAAACTTGAAAAAGGATTAGACCACACAGCATGAAGAGCAAATCAACGCTGGACGAAAGCACTTTCTTTTTTCGAGCCCAAAAGAGATGGGAACTGTCCAGTAATGATGATTTTCCAAAGAGAAAGATGAAATCGAGAGGCTCACAGATGTGAAATGCAAAAGGAGGTCAAGGCAGAAAGATGGTATAGAGCGAAAGTCTTGAAGAGTCATGACGTTGATGACTGCAGCTGCGTGCAAGACTGATCATCACTCTTTGGCAACCATTGTGAATTGGCACAAGCTCTTTGGTGACAGGGGAGTTACTAAAAAGAATCCCCTAGCTTTTTCAAAGGACACACGCAACCCAGCATGATCTTATATGGCAATCTTCTACAGCATCTTAATAGTTTTGTGCATCTCAGGGGCAGTTCTAGGGGCAGCTATTTACATGGTCAGTTGTCCTCGTATGGAGACAGTGGTGGAGCAGTAGCAGCAGTACAGAGGCAGAGACTACATTAGCCCCAGACATCACGTGGCCAGTGGTCAGGGATGATGAGAGTTATAGTTCAGCAACATCTGGAGGGCCAAAGTTCCCCACACCTCCAGTACCATTTATTCACCTATAAATATGGACCTAAGAACAGGGGAAGGAGGAAAGCAACTTGACAAACAGTGCTAATTTACCCAATAAGGTAAAGGTAAAGGGACCCCTGACCATTAGGTCCAGTCGTGACTGACTCTGGGGTTGCGGTGCTCATCTCACTTTATTGGCCGAGGGAGCCAGCATACAGCTTCCGGGTCATGTGGCCAGGATGACTAAGCTGCTTCTGGCAAACCAGAGCAGCGCACTGAAACGCTGTTTCCCTTCCCACCAGAGCGGTACCTATTTATCTGCTTGCACTTTGACGTGCTTTCGAACTGCTAGGTTGGCAGGAGCAAGGACTGAGCAACGGGAGCTCACCCCGTCACAGGGATTCAAACCGCTGACCTTCTGATCGACAAGTCCTAGGCTCTGTGGTTTAACCCACAGCGCCACCCACGTCCCTTACAATTTACCCAATAGTATACCCATTAAGCCCCACAAGGTTCCTTGGCCATCAGCAGCAAAAGCCAGATTTGGGTCCCCTTCACTCACTGCATCTGGCTGCCAAACATTTTCTAAGACCCCCATCCAAGCAGATGAGGTTTGATCAGCAGCTACTAGTCAAAACGTTGCACTCAAACATGCATCTTCTAATCACTGAGGAAGCATTGAAGAAATATCCTTAGCTATTAACAATACAAAAGGCTAGAGAAAACGTCTTAGGACTATTCCGTCCTTGAACAAGGGTGTGACTCTTTATAAAGCAGTGAACATTTTTTCTTTCTTGGCTGATCTTTAAGACATTCACCGGATGCAGAACTTTCATCCTTCAAAATGTGTTCGAACACACTGAGTTTTGCTTTTTTAAAGAAGAAATATGTGTGGGTTTTTTTATAATTAAAAAAAGTGTTTGAATTACTGTGCTTTATTTAACTTTGCAAAAGAGTCAAGCAATGTGGCTTCCATTCTTGAACAATCTAGGAAAGGAAGTAAATCCAGATGTGATTCCCACTTGCACATTTAGTGACATTCTATGCATAAGTAGAATAGTAGCCAAAGAGACATGCCATGCTTTCATACAATCTCACACACACTTTATGCTATGTATTGTCTCCTCAAAATTCTACCATTTTGGATTCAACACAGATACCAATTATTATTAAGAATCTTCACTTAAAAGGTTTGTTGAAAGTTTCATTCATTTCATTATGCTGCTTTTATATTCAAAAGGCAGAAGCATAAATAACTATTCTGATTTTCCTGGCAAGAACTGTAGCTTTCCAATGTGTAACATGCTGTCCCTTCGGTCAGCTTAAACTATATGTCCATCTGTTATAGTCTATTCTGCCCATTTCATTCAAAACAATATACTGAGTGATCAATCGCAGGTAACATTCTGGAAGCAAACCAATGTCATACAACATCACCAACAAACAGATTTTCAGCATGCTGGTAAATGCATGGAGATATTTTCAAAAGTTTCATTTTGCCCAATGTTTACTACTGTTTCAAAACATCGTATTTAGCCCCAGAAGATGACAGTGGAAAGCCTTCAATGTAGTTGCATAGTAGGTGACACTAAGCTACAGTGAATTTTTGTACAATTTTGAATTTGAGCAAAATTTCAGTATTTGGATCTTAATGAAGTTGTCATTAATAAATTGAATTACTATAATGTAAAAAATCCAAATGGTTAACCATATTGCAAATATTGTACAAAACTGAAATTAAGATCATATACATTAGAATTCTTGGAAGCAAATTTATGTATTCTTGCGGCTCTCTCCCACATAACCGCCCAGTGATCCTCAGATGAAGGGAAGTATATAAATTTAATAAACAAACAAAATTTACCTATAATATACAATAAACATGAGATTACTAACACTGACGCACCTAAAGTAGAATCACCAGAAGCAAGAATATAGTTTAGTGCTCATATCCCTTGTTCCCAAACAAAAGATTGCTAATTCCACATGCAGCAGATTGCCAGTGATAACCTACACAGAAACAAAAGCTTACTTAGGGTTGCCATACATCTGGTATACACCAACAACTGGAAAACACTGGCCTGTGAGCGCTCCAATTGGAAAACAGCCTTTACCAAAGGTGTCATGGGCTTTGAAGATGCTCAAACTCAGGACAAAAGGGCGAAATGTGCTAAGAGGAAGGCACACTTGCCAAACCCTCCCCATGATCAACTCCCACCCAGAAACCTATGTCCCCACTGTGGAAGGACGTGTGGATCCAGAATTGGCCTCCACGGTCACTTATGGACTCACTGTTAAAACCGTGTTTATGGAAGACAATCTTACTCAGCTACAAATGATTGCCAGAAAAGAAGAATACATAGCTGGTATTCAGCCCATGTAAACAGTGCCCGGGTGGAATCGCAGAAGTGTCCTGGAAAATCCAGACGAATGGCAACCCATACATATGTCAGAAGCGTAGTTTCTGGCGAATTTCATTAAAAGTAGCTCAAAAATTCATTTTATTTTTTGAAGAATTTTTAGAGATTCTTTGTGGGGGAAGCTCAACAACTTTGCCAAAAGAACACAACAACTTTTGTGTTCAGGTTTTCTGGTTGAACTACTTGAGAAAAAAGTCTTTTCTCAGACTGCACTTTGATTGTGGAGCTCCCTACCACAGAGGGAAAGCAGATGATATAAAGAGGATTGGGGGGGGGGACCCTCATGGGCTAAAACTGTGTGAAATGGTAGCAATTCTGTGTAGCCCTGTCCTGTTTTCCCACATGTACACCCCAGTCACATGTAATAGCTGTTGGTGCAAAAGAAAATTAATAATCACAAAGTATGCAAAAAAGTAAAGCATGGAAATATAGATTGTTAGACCTTTAAAATATGTTTCTCCAAGTGAGTTCCAAAATGTTCCCTTAAAAAGTTCATTTCCACACGTTTGGCGAGTTTAAAAATGATTTACTTACAAATTCTCCAAAGGTCAGATTCATGTGCTTCAGAAAAGTTGCATAGGCAGTAAAACATAGCTTTGTAAGTGGAAAGTGGTAAAAGTTTCTAGATTATTGGTACAGGAATTTAAGTGTGGCCTGTGAGAACCAGCTCAAACCTCTTCACATACTGAGCTTTTCAGGTGGACTGGGGGGAAACAATAGGTTTGATTGACCTATTTCCTCCCAAAGAAAAGGAAGTGACATAGCCAAGCCTGGTAGGACAGCTTACTCTATTAACCCCTTCGTGTTCTAATTAGACTTAAGCATGTTGGTTATATGAGGCTGGTTATCCCACAACAGCTGCATGTTCAGAAAGCTTGAGAAGAGACCCTATCCACATGCCAGGATATGCACAAAGAGCAAATGTGGGTGATGCAGATCCTGTTGGCCCAGAATCCCTCATTGCATGTGGGGAAAACATTGGCATAGGGTCCTTTCTCCTGTTCATCAAATGCGCAGTCAGCAGGGGGCATAAGAACATAAGAAGAGCTCTGCTGGATTAGAGCAAAGGCCCATCTAGTCTAGCATCCTGTTCTCACAGCAGCCAACCAGATGCCCATGGAAAGTCCACAAGCAGAATCTGAGTGCAAGAGCACTCTCCCCACTCATAA